GGTGGGGGGGTGGGGGGCGGAGGGGGAAAGCAGGCAAACCAAAATGCAGAGGGATGGCAAAGAGAAGAATTCCACTGAGGTTAAATTGACTCTTAGGGACTAAGCAAGCATCTGGTTGCCCCAGTTCCACCAGGAAAGTCACAGTGTCCCTTCCCTGACTGGTGGCTCTCTTGCTGAGAATACCGAAGGGTGTAACTGCCAACCTCAAGCTGGGTAAACTAACCAGGACCACTTGAGTCTCCTCATTATGTGCCCTCCTCTCTCCAGTGCCAAAGTGTGGTGCCAGTGTCACACGCTTTGCGCAATTCCCTCATCTATTCAAATCTGAATGTCACCATCAATATACGACACACAGCTGAAATTCCACACCTGTTTTGCCCACCAGCATTTGCCAGATCCAGTTACCTCCCCAGGACTGTGGAACAGGTGGCAGAGGTGTGCACAGACACACTCTGGTGTCCTGGAGCCCACCTGCCCAGGGCAGCACAGCCCCGAGGTGACAGCCTGCCCGGGTGACCCTGCAACCAGCCTGGGGCAGCCCAGCTGCACCTCTGCCCTCAGCCCTGCCTCTGCCTTCCCAACTCCCAGGCTGTGCTTTAAGGTAAGAGTGAGGGGGTGACACTGCTGTCCCCTGCACAAGAGCACACCGAGGACAGTGCCGTTCCTGCGCTGGAACTGAACAGCCTTGACACCAGGACATGAGGGAGCAAGGGACCAGCTGCAGCAGGGGGGAGTTTCTACACCAACAGGACCAACACGTACAGCAGCAACACAGCCCTGGTGCAGAGGAAACCTCAGTGAGGACGGAGGGTCCCAGAAAACCTTTGAAATTAAAGAGTTCAAAAAGCCAGGAGTGTGTCCTCAAACAGCAACATCCCAGCGTGGGGCTTTCAAAAATGCCTGAGTCACAAGCAATTTAACTTCATCTGAATGTGGTGGGTTTTTCCTTAAACATCCTTAGAGCTTTCTGAAGTCCTGTGGACCTTGCTGGGCAACACTGTCACACTTCCCAGGAGCATCACAAGGCAAAAGTAACAACTAATTATAAGAGGCACCAGAAGACACTAAGAATTAATGGGGTTGACATCAGCTGAAAATAAATCTTTTTTTAAAGACAGTCACATGTATCACATACCTGCTCATTTCAGTGCTCAAGGATCAGAAATTCCACTCTGCTCCTGCCATAAATGTGCAGGAAGATGTTTCTAGGCTCCACTCTGCACACAGAGTGTTCTCCCAGGCAGAGACACTCCACAGGGCACAGCAAGGCAAACACCACAGAAAGAAAATTGTTTGGGAACAAGTACTCTCCATGCCAATGGCTGGCAAGCAGGAGGGAGCTGACAATTTTTTAACTGCTGTCCAAGCATCTGCTGGTAGATACGAGAGCAAAACGAACACTGTGGCTGCGCCTGCTGAGCAGGAACAGCAGGAGCCTCCTATGACTGCAGAGCAGCACACAGAAAATTAATTTCCAGCAATTATTTGTGCTCTGGCCAGAGAGCATAACCTCACGTCTGAACAAGCTACAGGACATGTACAGCTGCTACTCCCAATGCATTCAAGATACAGTAAAGAAATTGTTATTCAGACCCCTCTCATTCCAAGCATCCAAAAGGCAACAGGAGCTCCAGTGTCAGGGCTCTGGGCCTGCAGCAGCACTCCTGCACCCAGGGGTGCACTGCCCTGCCTGCAGCCTCCAAGCTCTCTGAAGACAGACTCCTCACTCAGAGACACATATCGTGTCCATGTAAGACAAGGAGTTTTCAGAGCCATATTTCCTTTCTGCATGTTAAGCCCTGGTTCCTCTTCCAAGCAGATGTTGGCTCTTCTAAGGCACAGACCTGGGAAAAATAATTATGGCTTTTCTTTAAAAAAAAACAGAAAGGATAGAATAACTTTTCAGTCTTTTGAAAGATTTACTAGCCTCAGCAGAAGCTCAGGAGGAGGGTACAGCAGCTGTGGTTGGCCCAAATGAGAACACTCAACTTCTTCAGCAGCTGCTCAAGGCCCTGCAAACACTTCAAGATCCAGGGAAGTTGCTCGGTCCCCACCCAGACTTCCATGAGCACTGCAGGCCAGCCCACCTGCATCCCTGTGTGCTTCCCATCTGGCAGCTGATGGCTCCTTTATGGCCACAAAGGATAAGAGAAGTCACTTCCAGACAGTACTTTTACTGTGGCCCAGGTAACATTTTAAAACAGCTTTAGTTTTTAATGTAGGAAGGTTAAAAGCCCATTCCT